TTAAAGACCTGAAATATTTCAGTTGGTGTGCAATGAATCTGAAATATGAGTTTCATTTTTATCATTACATTATGGAAAATAATGACCTTTATCACAATATGCTAATTTTTTGAGAAGGACCTGTATGCTGTTCAGCACAGATCATTTTGTAGTATAATATCTCATCGCACATTTTACAACAGATGTTTAATTAGTTTATTTATATAATTACTTTACTGTTTTACATTTATAATTTCAAACTGATACATAAATTAAATGCAAATATTGAAGTCTGTTTCTATACATTTATTTCATATCTAAAAGTGTTCTGTGAATGTATTTAAATGTAATTTATAGAAGACAAAATGATTTTCTAAAAATTTATTTCTTTTAACTGACAGGATCTATTCTGGTCTCTATCATCCTTGGTATCACGGCCGTTGGCTATTGGCGGGTGTTTAAGTGGAACAGAGAGAGGAGGTAAGACTGGTTATGTCCCGATGCATACTCAATAATAAATAATAATTAATCAGTGTTAATGTTTTTGTTTTAGTTCAGTTGTCTGCAATCTGCAGCTACATGCAGCTCTTTAGTCCCTTGTCTACAGCTCTTTGAATATTTGACCAAAACTAACATGAAATGTATTTTTAATGGTCTGTATATCCACAACAGAAAATGCTAGTTTTAGCACATTCTTCTGTCAGTTTTCCAAAAATAAGTTAATGATGCTACTACTACAAGGAGCGAAATATGTGGATTACGTTTAGCTTGAGATATTTTTTCTCAAGTCCACCAGAAATTCTTTGGAATAATTTTAGAAAAAGTTGTTTGGAATTAATATGGTGAATCAATATAACTATAAGGATTAACAATAAAAAAAAAAATAAGTTCAAGTCAAAGAGTCGCAGTTAACATATTGGACAAAATGTCCTAATGTCTATGCACTTTAAATTTATGCTTCAAAGTGGCATGCTTGATTATGTTTACCTCGACCCAAAAAGGAAGAAGTGGGTAAAGATAATGGATGGATGTTGACTCACCTGCAGTTCAGGGTTTTAATTAGTCAAAAAGGGTATACTTTTCCCCTTCTTTACACAAATATGGGCTTTTCTTTTGTCCAAAAATGTAAAATTATAAATAAATGCTAAAATTTGTGGTATATTTATAGTCAACTTTATTTATAGAACACATTTAAAACAAAAACTGCTATCAAAGTGCTTAACAATAACATCAATGGGAGTAAAATTAATGAAAACATAAACACCACGCACTATTGATAATACTGAAGAATTAATAAAAAAAGCATTTGAAATATAGGAACACAGAAGAACAAACACTAAATCATTCACACTGCGTGAAATGCCTGTGAGAACAGATGTTTTTAGCAGATATTTGAACTGAGGAAGACAAGTGGCCTGCCTGATGTTGGGGGGGGGGCAGGTTGTTCCAGAGTCTGGGGGCCATGGCTGAAAAAGCCCGATCTCCTCTGAGCTTCAGTCTTGTTTTTGGAACAGCCAAAAGCAGCTGACTGGATGATCTCAGGGACCGGGAGGGAACGTATGGTTCCAGAAGCTCCGAGAGGTAAAGGGGTGTGAGGCCGTTTAGGCATTTGAAGGTCAACAGAAGAATTTTAAAGACTATTCTAGTACGAACAGGGAGCTAGCATACAGTTCATTGCAATAGTCCAATCGGGTCGTAACAAAGGCGTGGACTAGTTTCTCAAGGTCGGGTCTGGACAACACTGGCTTGAGCTTAGCTACCTGTCTTAATCAGATGAAGTTTTTCTGCAGAACAAAGTTGATTTGTTTGTCAAACTTGAAATCAAGAGTCTAAAACCATCCTGAGATTTTTACCAGACTGCGTAAGATATGGCTGAAGAGAGTCCAGGTTGACGGGATCAGAGGCGGCTAAAGACAATGACTAGAGTGTTACGTCACCCCTATTGGCCAGAAAAACCCTCTCCAACAAACTGGAAAAGGCCCCCAGACCACCAGTTGATATTGTCATTGCACATGGTGGTGGATGAAATTGCTCCGCTCACCAGGATCTGTCACTCTGAGCTGCCTCGAACAAGCAAAAAAAAAAAACTTTGTATTGTTATACACAGTGTAACTCCTACCCGCTTTATTGAATATCTCAGACCAAGAACATTGTCTACGTGCATTTCCTGTTCAGTTCCAGTCCAGAAACGGTCATCTTGAAAACTGCAAATCATTCAATATTCAAATCCCTGAGCGACAGGGACATCAGCGCATTGCTTGTTTAGTTCTTAGGTTGCAGACCTTGTTTAGTAAGTGTTTCAAATTAATGTTGGGTTTCTGTGTCACAGGCGCCTCACCATCGAGGATATGGAGACGAGAATCGCGCTTATGCCTCTGATGCACGCAGAAAGGGACCGAAAGTAATTTTTTTTTTTTTTTAAATAAGCCTTGCGAGAATAAATCGGACTGTGTAACATTTATATTTTCAACTTTTCAGTGTTTTGAGGATGATGAGAGAGAACTTGGAAGAGGAGGCGATTATTATGAAAGACGTTCCAGGTTGGAAGGTAATGTGAGGGGGGGAAAATTACTTAAAAAAAACAAAAAAAACATATATAAAAAAATAAAAATATATATTTTTTTATATATATCTATATATATTTTATATTTTTTTTATATATATATATATTTATGTATATATATATATATATATATGTATGTATGTATGTATGTATATGTATGTATGTATGTATGTATGTATGTGTGTGTGTGTGTGCGCATTTGTTTTTTTAAATACCTATTCCAATTTTTTTTCTTTCTTTTTGTATGAAGTGTGCTAATTGAACAATGTTTCAGAAATGAAAAAAGGTTTAAAGGGAAGTGTAGGAAGGCAGTGATTGGCAAATCTCATAAACCCATGTTTTCTTCATAATCGAGCAGAATAAACTCAATTTCTGAAAAAGTTTTTGATCCCATGCAGCAACGACCCACAAACCAGACCTGTTTTAATGCATTGCTTCTTCACCTTTTGAACTTTGAGCTACAAACATTGACTGGTATACTAGGTAAATGCATAGATGTCTACAGTGCTCTTCATCGGCTGTTTGTTCGTTAACCAGATTTCAACAATTAAAACCCATAAGATTGTCTCACTGCATGTCTCATTATTCTCAGGTTGGTGAAACCGTCTTCCATGCAGATCGCTGGGTCACCCCGATGGTGTACGAGCTTTACGGTCTACGGCCAAAAGAAGAGTATTTGCACAGCAGGTTTGGCTTCCTGACAGAGTAGACGCTGCACAAGTACTCTAGGAACACCACCCCAAGGCCCACCTCGTCCTCATCACTTATAAACATTCAATAATAAAAATCTTTGTTCTGCATCTTGACTCATTTTATGTTCCAATTTGATGTGCACTATGTGGGTGAATGTTAACTATATGAATAGTTAGATTAAGTATGAGACTAGAGTGCCAAATATGGCTCTAGTTATCTTATGTTTTTCGCTTCTGATTTTACTTAAATCCGTGCATATTGTGAGTCGGCAAACATTGAAGCAGGTAAATCACACCACACACTTGACTTTAATGCAGTAAAAGCAAGAACATAGTGAGGCAGGTGAAACTTAAGGAACTTTCAACCAAGACATGTCGAGTATCAAACTGGAGTTAATGTACTGTCAAAGTGACCCTTGGTTTGCAGTAAATTTTCAGTTTTGATGTCCTGCAGTTTGACACTTCTATATTGTACAGAAAAAGGTTCTAGGAAGAACCTACTTGACCTTTATGTAGTGTTAGCTTTTTGCAATCCATGGTGTTTGGGGTCATTTTGATCAGTCTTAAAGTAAACAAAAAAAATGGACTCAAAATCTTTATTGCCAAATTTGTTTCAGAACCCTTGGTGCTTCTGGGCTCTGTTCCTCACCCTTCCTCCAAACCCATGATTTCCAAATGAAAGGCACACTTTCATCGGAAGAGGAACCCGCCAGTTGTAGCCCATCTCCCAGATGTGTCTGAATGTGGTGGTTTTTGAAGCTGTGACTCCTGCCTCATTCCACTCTTTCTGGATCTCTGCCAGATTAATCTGCTGAAGCCCATGGTCATCTCTTCTGCTGGTGCATCTTCTCCTGTCACATTTTGCCCTTCCACTAGACTTTCCATTAATATGCTTGGACACAGAACAGTCAGCCTCCTTCACGATGAACTTTTGTGATGGGGATATCAATGATGGTCTTCTGGCCAGTTATGTCTGCAGTCTTCCCCATATTGAACCGAACTGAAGTAATTTAATGACACCTGGGGAAACCTGTGCAGGTGCTTTGAGTTTAGTTCATCTTTAGTTCAGAATTTATTAGGTTTTGTGAATTATTTTGATAAAATGTAAAGAGCTTAGAGAACGCGTGTTGGGTGTGCATTACAATACCATATCCGGACTTCTGGGGGCGCTGTAGTGCGTCATAACATCTAGACTCAAAGAAGAAGTCTCCCTAGGTGACGTCACAACAGGCTGCAGCGGAGGGGGCCTGCTCTGAGAAAGATGTCGGTCTCCAAGGTGAAGCTCCAATTTTTTTAAATCCTGTTTTCGTGGGTTTCATAAGCTGGAAGCCCATTTTTTTTAAAAGGTCTGTATATATATATATATATCCAGTGTGGCATCCTATTAACTGCTTTCATCTCAAATTCAATATAAGTAAAAAGGTCCCCATCAGAATGTTAAAAGTATTGGTTATTACACTTAGGAGTATTGGAACACACCTCTTGAATAAATTTATTGTATTCATTTAACATTTTTTAACTACAGTAAACTATCTGGTGTTCGATGTCAAGACTTCATCCCCATGTTTAATTCACGAAAAAGGCAATTTTCTTTTATTGAAGTTTAATATACAAAGTCAAAAGCAGAAAATTAGTAAATAATGGAGATTTGCAAGGTTAAACCGCCACTAGCAAATCAATCAAGGAACATTTTTCTGGGTCAGAGCTGACGCTTCCTTTTAGAACCAGTACTCTGTGGGGTTGTGGGTGTGCTGGCTGATGTTAAAGCTGGGCTGGCAGGGTAAGGTTCAGTACGCACGGCCTAAGGTCCACCAGAGAGCCTTTACTCTGGAGCTCTGCAGCCGTCTGGCCAAGGCTGCTGCATCTGGATCCAGAGGCACTCGCGCCCTTCACTCGAGTGGCTTGACAAGGGCAGTATTTGACTCCTCCAGAAATGTCCTTCACTGAGGAGTTCCACCCTTGATGTGGATCTACAACTCTAGCACATTGTATGCAGAGAAATCCAAAATGTAAAAAAATATACAATTGTCCAGACGCACATTAGCCCAGTACAATTGTGGTTTTATCACTGACACTGCAGCAACATGATTTGTCTCGTTTACCTGCCTTGACATGCATTGGCAGGGCATAATGAACTCCTCTCTGGCCTTGGGTCCATCACTTGTAGTTCCATTCCTCCAACGAGGTTTGTCAGATTGTACAAATGGTCCTACACACACGACTCGTTTTGAAAGAGCTGGCTGTGGGCCAAGTCTAAGTGAAGTTAACATGCAGTTGGGCAGAAATCGTTTCAACAGGATTTAGAACGATAAAAAAAATGCAAATAAAGTTGATATTTTTCAATGAGGTTGGTCAAAACACCTTTATGCAATAAATGCGTTTATGCATTTAAACTCTGAATTAGGTTGGTGGCGACAGGAATCCAATCCTTTGCACCTTTTTCCTAGTTGACTTAAGGACTCATTTTATTCAGCCTATGGAATCATGATACTCTCAAAACATGGATTTTAATGTCATTCATAAAACTTGAGACAAAATTTAACACCAGAATTGGTCAGATTAAATAAAATAAAAAAACACAAGTGTTACTTTTTTAATTTTATTTTTTTTTATAAAAGTATAAAAATGTAATTACAATCAAGTTTGCTAGAGGTACACATCTCTGCGTGTCCATCCACCCGTTTACTCTCAACCCCAGATGGTGTGTTCCTGCAGATTCCTGAGTTTAGCTCAGTCACCCTCCTTTCGGAATCTGAAACGAAGATCAGAATAAATGAAGCTTGTTGATCCAAATTAACAGATTACTCTGGAAGACGAGATTTACCTGAGAAGCTTCCAGCGACACTTCCATAAGAGTGCTACATTTGATTGGAGGACTCAAACTTCAAGGCAGTCACCTCACTCTGAAGAGAAAATGGATCAAACATTGCTTTAAATATTTTAGGATTCATGGAATGAGCTTCATTGAAAGTCACATTAAGTCATTAAAATAGCCTTGGTGCAATAAATTATAGGGGAGTGGCATTACAGGAGAAAATTGAGAAGCAATGAAGTGAACAGGGTCAAGTGGACAGAGCACCATGACTAAACATCTTGGGTGATCTTCATTTTCCTCCTTTTTAAATGGACTTATGGGAATCGAGGAAAAGGCCATGACACATTTGCAGGAAACATCTGAAGCAGTGGACTTAACTTGAGGCACTCATGGAAACATTCAGAACTTGATCGTTAAGGATGTGAGCAACAAAAGGAGTTTTACCTCACGTGCACTGGCCTACTCTCCACATTTGCTTTAGGCAAGAGCAGCTTTTCATCTGAGCACTTGTTGGCAGACGCAACTCTCCAAGGACTTGTAGATTTTTGAAGGAGCAGAGTTGTTGAGCATAATGAAGCATTGACATGACACAAGCTCACTAATGTTTTTACCCACTTTTAAAGCCCAAACTTCACTGGTATGTTTAACATAACAAGCCTGAAATTTTTTTAAAAAGATAAATGATTAGAACTGAATTTACATGCAACTGTTAAATCCCCACTAAGTCCAATGTATTCAGGTGTCAAAATGTATGCAATGTAAATTTAAGTAGTCTATTCACCCCCATGCGAACATTTTGAACAGGCAACGAATCAGGATCATTTTCCATATTTTGTTTAATAGGCTCCATGAAGCCAACTGACAGGAAAAAAAAAAAAAAAACTTTAATACAAAGAACACAAAGTACAAAACTGTTCCCATTTATATTTAACTCTGAAGAACGAAGTTACATTTTGCGATCACTTTAAGATTAGTCCATTTTACAGCACATTTAAATGGCAGAGATTGAGCAGAGCACAGAAGATACCTTGGTCAGACTGTAGCATGCTGCATTTTGCAACTTCATGAACAGCTGGCCACTTCAGAAGTGTAGTTCAGTCTGAATTCACTCTTTTGGGACATTGAGCAGAAAAAGAGTTTAACTTAGGTTCTCTTAGCTTAAGGAATTTAACAATAAAATTCCTAAAAGTTTGGTAAATGGGTCTCTTCCCAGTTTAAAAAGATTTTGCAGGAGGTAGGTCTGTTAAAGACAAAGAAAAATGGGGACCTACTGTATAAAATAATCATGTATAAGGAAATGTCAGCAAATCCTTAAAAGTTCTTGACAAGGACAGGCTTGTGGCTGATAAAAAAAAAAAAAAAAAAAAAAAAGTGGAGCTGCTTCATATCCCAGCCTGGGTTTCCAACAGACTTTACAGAAGACTCAATTTAATGTGTTGGGATGCCCAATTAAAAACTGCATTTTGTAACATGGTAGAACAATGACCAAAATTCACCTCTACATTTCCTTTTGTTTTCAAGGTACTACAACAGAACTACATAACTAAGGTCAGCAAAAAACACGTGGACATTTTTCTTGAAGAGTGCAGCTTTCAAATACAGCCAGCCAAGTGATGATCTTGAATCAGGGAGACGTTTACTCGTGTGCTGGAGGATAAGAAGTGGGCACAGGTAAAGACACTGGAGATTCACAACATCCCCTCTAACCCACCAGACCTAAAACCCAGGAGTTTTAAGTTTCTTTTTTCTATAGAGGCTCCGTCAGTTGAGAAATGAGCAACGTTTGAGTAGGCAACATTAGGCATTTGCTTTAGTGGTTCAATTTTCTGCCAGCCTCTTCGTGTGGAACGAACGCTTTTGGCAACTTGAAGAGGCTTGAACTTAAAGCTCAGGTACAAAACTGAGGGGCGCACTTGAGTTTCATTTAGGGCAGTGTAAATGGCTGAAATCCCCACATGTGCTACTAAAGACAAGAAGCTTAACACCAATTTATTTAAACAGTCATCTGCAGTGTTACAGACCTAACCCTACATTTTATGGTAGATGCTTACCGTAACTGTCATAGCCATCCCGGTAAGACCCAGAGCGATCACCATATCCTCCACTTTGGCTCCTGAAGATTGGAAGGGGAAAAATAAATAAATTACTACAACTGTCAAGTACTGCTTGGTTAAACGAATGTAGCATATTTAACTTACCTGCTCTCTCTGTAGCCACCTGAAGAATAACCGCCAGCTCTGTATCCACCACCAAAACTCCTGTCGCCGCCACCAAAGCTTCTGTCACCATAACTTCTGTCTCCATACCCCCTGTCACTGTTGTAGCCACCTGTAACAAAGAAGTCAGTCAGTTTAATTTCAACAAGAATAAGAGCACCATTAACTTCTTCGATGTGTACCTCTGGAGAAACCACGCCCACCCCTGCCGCCTCTAGGGCCGCTGAATCTGCCGCCTCTTGGACTGGATCCAAATCCTCCTCCTCTGGGACGTCCACCTTTCCCTGCCTCGTCCACACGAATTGCACGACCGTCTAGAGTCTAAGATGCACAGACGGCGTTTATTAAAAACTAGCTATAGGCTAGGCTAATTTTTTTTTTTTTTTATTTATATATATAAAAAAAAAAAAATACCTTTCCGTTCATGGCGTCTAATGCGTCTTTAGCATCGTCAACGTTGTCATATTTCACAAAGCCGAACCCACGTGATCTTCCCGTTTCCTTGTCTCTGATAACGTCCACTAATTGAATTAGAAAAATCAAAATGTTAATCTATTTCTACCATTTTAATATAGTAATAAGCTTAGTACGTTATTAATCAAATTAACCTTTTTCGATGGTTCCGTATTTGCCGAAGGCCGCGGCCAGAGAATCCTCTGTCGTCTCGAAGCTCAGACCTCCAATGAATAATTTGCCCTCGTCCGACATTTTTCTTTAAAGTTTAGCTGCAAAAGAAAAAAAAAAAAAAAAAAAAAAGTGTATAAAAAAAAAACTGACGCAGCATGAACAAGTAGGTCAACGTGCCAGTTACAAAATGGCGCTGGCACGTTGCGCAGTTTCATCCCGACCCGTTGCACGGTTTCACGGCGAATTAAACATGACAATTAATTCAAAATTGGAAAGATTACTACAAGGGAATACCTGTACAACCAAATCGAGAGGCTTCTAAAAGCAGTTAGACGTAATTTCATTTATTCAGCAATTGCAGCATTCCACCCCCCCCCCAATCCGGCGCCATTTTGTAGCATCGAGCGCGTGTTCTTTGTTCACTGACCTACTTAGCAGGTAGCTAGCTAATGCGCACAATGCCTTAACTTTCAAGGTTATATAATCCTCCATACAATATAGCAGTTAATTTTCATCTGCGGACATTCGTACACACCACGGACCTTCACACATCATTAGATTTTAGTTTAAAGAAAATGTTGATACTAAATTTAAAATTACTACGACACATTTACGATAAATATAATTGTGCAGCAAAAACAGGCGATTCTAAAATAATATTATACATTTACAACAACAAAAAAATAACAGTTGAAATGCTTTACCTTTTCACGCCGATCTTAGAAGACTAACACAGCAGCAATGCGGGACGACTGAGACGGAGGAAACTGGGCGCTTCCTTTTTATATCTGCGCCGCACTTCTTCTGATGTTGCTCCGCGCTAGAACTCAATACTGCCACCTACTGTTCAGAAGCTGTACCTGCAAAGACAGCAGGACTTGAAACCTGAAACCAAACAACCTGCAGGCCTGGTGGGTTATGATTTATGAAACATCAACCCTCCTCTCGTCCCCAATACAATAAGATGAACAGTTTTTATTTTATATTATATGTTACGTTTAATATTTAATATTTTTTAGTACATGTAGTAACTACGAAGGGTAGACTTGGCTTTGTTTTCTGACTATTTTGTGACATAGGTTTCTAAAGCAGATGATTTATTCCCCATTTTACAAATGTTTTTGTAACAACTAAAGAGATCTCAACATATTTCTATGAGGAAAATATCGGTGAATAAAAGTAATAATTTGGAAAAGTAGAAAATATCTCCTGGAAAAGACCAGGAGCTAAGGAGTCAGCCTCCCCAGACATCGACACCTCCAGATGCAAGAAGAGGGCTACCTGCATCATGAAGGACCCCACTCACCCAGCACACATACCCTTGGCCCTGCTCCCCTCAGGCAGGAGGTTGCGGAGCATTAAAGGTGCATTCACACCAGCCCTGTCAAAACAGCCCTGTTTAGTCCACTGACTGGAAACTGGCTGTTCAGGTTTTCAGAGCAGTCACTCATCTTCCTTGTCAGAGAGATTTTGTTTTTTCATCTTTTCCCTTGCCTTCGTGTGCATCTCTGCTCTGCTCATCTTCAATCAGTGTAGCTGATTCAGCTTTGACACAACAGTCTGTTCATCATGAGATACTTTAATCAAACACAATCTTTGTGTTGAAATGTGTTACATAGAGTATGACATCATCTCTAAGTCTTCCGTCTGTATGTGTGTGTGTGTGTGTTCTTATCAGACCTCTTGTTGCCTGGATGCTGCTGCTGCTGATCTTCTCAATCAGCAAAGCTCCACCTCCAATAACATCAATATTCATTCTGCATCTCTTTGAAGCTGACAACAGCAGGAGACCCAAAAAAGAAAGAGCAGGGATTTAAATGACTTTGAAGGGATGGATTAAAACAGAGTTAATTATGGCTCTATCTTTACATTTGTTCAGTATGTTTTGCACCTTAGCTCATCTGGTTGTTCTACTGAGATATCCTGAAATGCAGATTATTTTGCTTTGTAACTAAAGCAGGAGAAATCTGTAATCTGTCTGCTTTACATCTAAGAGTGGAGATGAAAATAATCATTAAAATGATTAGAGGTTAGATGAAGGACAGTCTTAGGGCTCCAGCATACTGCATCATAAATTTGACTTTAAAATCTGTTATTGTTCTTATATTTAGGAATACATTAGTTATCACTAACTCATTCAGATCGCTGTGGAACACCGGACCAGCTCTTTACCCTCACTAGAGCCCTTCAGGGGTCATGGGAGTTTGCCCATCCAGTCTACATGTGCTTTGATGACTCGGAGAAGGTTTTTGACCGTGTTCCTCAAGGTACATGTAGGGGGTGCTCTGTGAGTATATATTGGAGACCCGTTGCTACAGGCTGTTCGGTCCCTATTCAAGTGGAGTTTGGTTCCATTGCCGATAGTAAGTTGAACCCCTTTAGGGTGGGAGTTGGACTCCACCAGGGCTGCCCAATGTCACCGATTCTGTTCATAACTTTTATGGACAGAATTTCTCGGTGCAGCCAGGGAGTAGAGAGGTTCTGGTTCAGTGGTCTCAGGGCTCCATCTCTTCTCTTTGCAGATGATGTGGTCCTGCTGGCGTCATCATGCTGTGATCTTCATCTCTCAGTGGAGCAGTTCGCAGCCGAGTGTGAAGAGGGCGGGATGAGAATCAGCACCTCTAAATCTGAGGCCATGGTTTTCAGATGGAAAAGTGTGGATTGTTCTCTTCAGGTCGAGGGTGAGGTTCTGCCTCAAGCGGAGGAGTTCAAGTATCTTGAGGTTTTGTTCACGAGTGAGGGAAGAATAAAGCGTGAGATTGACAAATGGATTGGTGCAGCGTCTGCAGTATTGCGGACTCTGTGCCGGTCCGTTGTGGTGAAGAAGGAGCTGAGCTATAAGGCAAATCTCTCTATTTACCGGTCAGTCTACATTCCTACCCTCACCTATGGTCATGAACTCTGAGAAGTGACCGAAAGAATGAGATTGAGGATACAGGTGGTTGAAATGACTTACCTGGACTCACCCAGACAGCGTGAGAACTTCAGTTATCTGGGAGAAACTCAGAGTAGAACCACTGCTCCTCCACATTGTGAGGGGCCAGTTGAGGTTGTTCGGGCATCTGAGGATGCCCCCTGGGCACCTCCTTACGGAGGTTCTTCAGGCATGTCTGACTGGGAGGAGCCCCCGGGGAAGACCCAGGACACACTGGAGAGACTATGTCTCTCTTTTGGCCTGAGAACACCTTGGAGCCCTCCTAGAAGAGCTGGAAGAGGAGGCTGTGGAAAGAGATGTCAGGGCCTTCTCCCTGTTCAAGCTGCTGACCCCGTGACCCGACTTTGGAATAAGCAGAAGATGATGGATGGATCCTCACTTCTACTTCATCTTTCTAACGTGAGGGGGTCCTTTTCTTTTCTTGTGTTTATATTTGGCGCCCAGTGTGCATACTTTATGCCCATGCTCCATCATGCCTTGTTTCCTGTTGTTGTTTTTTTGTGGTGTTTTCATTCAGTGTTCCACTACAGACCTGGCACTGAGTAGTATACAGTATATTTCCGTGTCAACAATGTTCTAGTGTTTTTTCTTGAATATGTAGTTCACTGTCCATTTTTATTTCACAAATGTTTTTTTTTTTTTGTTAACAAACACCGTTTTTAGTGGGGGTGGCACAGTGGCACAGTTAGTAGAGCTGTTGCCTCTCAGTGAGAAGGTTGCCGGTTCAAATCCCAGCTTGGGACCTTTCTGGGTGGAGTTTGCATGTTCTCTCCGTGCATGTGAGGGTTTTCTCCATGTACTTTTGTCCCACAGACAAAAAACATACATGTTTGGCTGATTGGTAACTCTAAATTGTCCCTAGGTGTGAGTGAGAGAGTGGTTATTTGTCTCTATGTGTCCCTGTGATGGACTGAAGACCTGTCCAGGGTGTCCCCCTGCGTCTCGCACAGTGATAGCTGGACATGAGCACCAGTGGCCTCCATGACCCAAACTGGAAGAAGAGAGTAAAAGATAATGGATGAATGGAAGTTTTGTGGAATTCTGCTGTGGCAGTCAGTACCTGATTATTCAGCTGTGTTTTTACAATCATTGTACACTTATTAGTAAAAATGAAACACATCTCTAGTGTCTCTACAATAAAATAAATCTACGATAAAAAACAAAATATCTTAGAAGTTTTATAAAATGATTTATTTCTCAATTCCATGATTGTGTTTAAAATGTTTTAATATGGTTATCTATATTATTATATTATATAGCAGAAATGTTTCTGATGGAGAAACACACAGAGCTGAAAATGTAGTTTCTGATGCACCACAGCGTGGAAATCACATTAAAACCACATGTACCAGAGTGAAACGCAAGGCTAAGGAGAAATAATGTTACTCCAGTTAAGAAATAGGAAAAAAAAAAGAGTTTATTTATTGGATCTATGAAAATATCTCTGACTCACAAACAGTTTGAGCTGTTTGACTCCCAGAAAAGTGTGTTTTACTTTATGTGTTTCCATATGGCGAAGTAGATTCTAAAAAGGCATTCTCTTCAGGGACACTCACATTTAAGAAAACCACACACACACACACACAAACAGAGGAGAAAAAGAAGCAAAGCAATACACCGAAATGTGACTTTCTCAAATACAGAAGGCTGCCGTGTCAGTTTAACATGGAGACAGTAAAACTGACACAATTCCAGGCGCAGGTAATACCTGCTCTTTCAGTCCACACCCTCAGTGAAACATCACGTCATCAGGCTGTAAGTAACATTCCAAGAATAAGAAAGACAAAACGTTTGGGACTAAAATCATTTGATGTTGAGAAATGACTAATTTGCAGCCATTCTGTTCAACGTCAAAAATAACATAGTGCCTCACACAATATCACAAGATGCCACGCTCAGTGTACGTGTTATTACTGACTCTCAGCTACTACCATGTGATTGAACTGAAGTTAATCCATAGCTGAGCCGTAGCTGAGGATCCAGCTCAGTCCAGAGGAGCTGGACTCTTTCTGGAGTCCCACAGGGTCTTTCTGTCACAGCGAGTGCATCTTTTCCATCATTAGGAGCAGTTGTGCCGCTGCAGGTACGGAGGATTGCCTTTATGAAGGCGTGAACGCCTCCGAGTCCACCTGCGAAGACGCTGCTGATGCATCAACAGCTGGAGACGCTTTAACTTGCTCTGCAGTGATTTATTTTCCTCTGAGGGGGGAGGCAGCAGCTGTCCCTCAGCTCCTGCAGCAGAGGGACACAATGACATGTTGAAAGATTTTGTTGTTAATTATTACAATTTCTGTGGTGCAAACATGAATAAACACTTTTAGTGGAAGGTAAAATATCACAGCTTTGGATTTATTTAGAAAAAAGGGATAAATTAATTATCTCGTGTATAATCAGGACATTCAATAACTGATGGACAAGGAGAAAAAGGACAAGCTATTTGTATTTGTTAAATAAATAATTAAAAAAGACAGAATGTTCTGCTTAAAAAAAATGCTTTAAGTAATATCCCTCATTTATTTATTTTCATTTGATAAAAGCATTTTTTTTTCCACGTGTTGTAAAAAAAATGATTATGAAACAAAACAGGTAAGAACAGACAAATGCAGGAAACGTTAAAGGTCTAAATGTCTTTCATGCTGGAGTTTTGATATATTGTGTTGAGAAATGAGAAGGATTAAGCCATTTTGGTCAAACCTTAAAACCTGTTATGCACAATGGCATGTGACACTAGATTTCACTCTCAGAGTATGTGTCGAGGATGACTCTCAGCTACTACTAAATCCAACTCTATCTAATTATCTGTAAAACTGACTGAGTTCTAGCCACTTGTGTGTTGGCGAACATTGATTAAGAGTAGTGGCCACATTGAATTGGTTTTGCTCCATGAGTTAATCAGCTGTAGAGGAGCATCCAGTGATTAAGTTCTAAAAGTTTCATTCAAATCTGCCCTGTAGTTCATGAGATATTTTGCTAACAGACAAACAGAACTGACTTCAATAGTTAAAGTTAAAGTAAAAAACAAAGAAGCAGCACAGACTTCTCTTGAAATGTTGTAGATGACTCTCAGCTACTACCATACCAAATTTTAGTTTATTATCTGTCAAATTGACTGAGGTAAAGTCATTTTTATGTTTTCTAAAGTCAGTTAGCTGTGGCAGCCATCTTGAATTAGGTTGGCTCCAAAAAGGTAATCGGTTGTAGAAGTATATACAAAGAATATTTTCTGAGAGTTTAATTAAAATCCATCAAGCGGTTCATGAAATATTTTGCTAACAGACAGACTCTAAATAGGTAATGGCACAATTTTAAACAAAGATCTTGTGCAGCCTGTTAGTGCTCAGAATGTATGATGGAGGTCATTCTCAGCTACTACCACACCAAATCTTAGCTCAAAAGCTGTAAAACTGGCCAAGTTTTTAAGGTATTGTGGTAACGACACACGAGCATTATCGTCCTTCATCTTTCAGCAGTGATAAAAGTAAAGTTAGTAATCATGATGAGTACAGTTATATCTCCTCCTTGAGTGTTGTGCAGCTACAAATACAGCCTCTGACACAACACAGACAGTTTAATCTCATTTTAGCTGTTGGACTTCAGCTGTTTTGGCCTCTTTTGACCAAACTGAAACAGGATGTGCGCAGCAGATTTAATCTGTAGACGGACTCCATCAAACATTCCTGCAGTTTGCAAGCACACACTTTCACTCTCTCTGTTTAAGGTTTTTACCCCCGAGTCCTGTCCTCTGGGATGGTGGGGGTCTGTTTCTTGCTCTGCAGGGCTCCTCTGCTTTGACCTGAGGGTCTGAGCTCACACAGTGATGAAGAGGAGGAAGAGTTAGAACCTCCTGGTGGTGGTAGGCCGCTCTGAGGAGGTCGTTCAGGATTTGGAGAATGATGGCGGTGCCTCTGCGAGGACGGCTGACGTCGCTATGCCTGCAAGGGGCCAGGGTCCCTGACAGAAGAAGAAGATGCTCAAACCAACTTTTAATCGGATTTAATGTAAGAGATTGTGACTAAATCTGCTTCATCATGTCTGTTATTTTATCTTAATCAGATTACTGCATTGTTTTTAAGTCACTTACCAGAAAAAGTCCCAGAGAAGACGCCTGGAGAGTGTTTCACAAAACTTTCAATGACAGCTCCAGGCTGCTTGGACAGATGTTCGTTCACATCAGCCTGTAACAAAAGAAAGCAGCCACACTGAGGAACAGTGGTGATTATGGTTCTGTTAATGGTTCTGACTGGGTCTGACCTCTGTGGCGGTGGAAGCAGCTGCTGGGCTCAGAGGGTCTGTGATGGAGCTGGTGGGTCTGTCTGAACAGACTGGTGCTGGATAGATAAAATGTGGAAAAGGAGGTGGGTGAGCAGAGCGTGAACAAAGCACAGGCGAGGGGCAGCTCACAGGAGGGACACTTTTGGACGAGCTGAAGGAAGTTCTGGGTCTGTGTGAGCTGCGTTGGGGGGAGGGTGTGGAAAGGGATGGTGGAGAGGAAGACTGCGGGGTGAAGAATCGTGAGGAGGAAGAGTCGGATGTTGGCTGGCCAGTTTGAGGCTCCTCGTCCTCATGCATCCTCTTCGCATCCTGTGACAGCTGCAGCTGCACACACATCGTGTGGGCACCGGTTCCAAGGCTGAGGGTCAGAGGTGAGTGTCCCGACAGGAAGTCATCAATCTGCAAGAAGCACGTGAGAGTTTGAACAGCTGTTTAGATCATTTGGTGGCTGGTGGTGGGAAGAGAGTGATAGCTGATGTTAGAGAAACACTTCACAGATTAGACTGTTGTGGCTCCTGTTAAATGATCTTGTTAAAAGGCTGGAAATGATTATTCACAGGAATATTCACAAATGATATTTTAAAACAATAGTTCGGATATTTTGAGGTAATCCATTAATATCATACCTGTTGCACATAGACCTTTGATCATCCTCAGTTTGGAGTTTAATTCAGACGGACTGATGAGCTATGGGTGGGGCCATGACCAAAGTGTTAAACAGCTCCAGTCTAACATATCCGTCCATGCAAACTTGATTTATTAAACATTTACACCGTTTCACATTATATCCCTTTTTACATAGAACTATTTGGTTGTTTGTGAACGTCAGCAGCATCAGCAGCTAGCTATAGCACTCCAGGTGCCCTTACAGCAAGTTGATCATGTTTGATGGAGTACAGAAGTTAAGATGGTAGCAATCAACGTCTCATTGTTAATTTATCAAGCTGTTCAAATTTAAACTATTTTCTCCAAGCTGAGACTGTATAAAGATCTATCTATAACAGGTAAGATATTTATTGTTCATATTTCCCCCCCAGAAACACAAGATCTAAATTATCACTTAAAATGGGTTCAAAGATGAGCTTAAAATATTAACAAGTACAGAAACATATTTTCATCACGAGTGCAGCGTGAATGCTGAATGACTGCTGAAATCTGATGAAGAAGCTGAAATGTAGCCAAAAGCTAAAAGGAACCAAACACTAAAGCCTATGAGAAGCAAAAAGCGAGCTGAAAATCAATAGCTTCACGAAACATAACAACAAAGAGTGGGAAAGCGTGAACTAAATGTATCAAATTGTGAGCTAAAATCTAAAGGCTAGCTAAATATAAAAGTAACAGAACTGTAATTAGAAGTTAAAATAAGAAAAGGGCTTGTTAAAAGTTAATATTAGTGTGAAAAGACAAAAATAGAGCAAATGTGTTTCTATGGAGGAAATATTTGCGCAGTTACAAAAAAAAAAAAAGTACTTCGTAAAATAGCTAAAATAGCTAAATACAGCTAAAAAAAAAAAGCTAAAATAGTACAGATATCATATGAATCAGCACAACACCACACAATATATTATAAAAATATCTGAGGTGTTTTCACATGCAACAAATAAAATGTGGGATCTTTCCATCTGCAACCATGTTGATTTTTACATAATATTCAAACAAACACGTTTATTTCATGAGTTGAAAAAGTTTTCGAAAATAAAACAAAGCGTTTGGAACAAAGACCTGAACAAGGCACTCCATTTTGTTCAGGTTTGATTCACATGCAGCTGCACAGATGTCAGAAAAACACCTTTCTGCAAGAAGGTCCGTTTGTTTCTGTCAAGTTTCTCTGAGATTAAACACAACTCTTACCTGGGTCTCTGTTAAACTTGCCAGTGTGTCCATCATCGTCCTCTCCTTGCCATTCAAGGACTGCAGTAGAGAAAATCAAAGAACTAAGTCTGATTGCATTTTGTTTTTTTTCGTGGGAAGAACAGGATGAGCAGTAACTCACCATCGAGCCTGTTTCAGTGGCTGGAACCAGAGTCAGTCTGCTGCCGTCTCTTACTCCCTGATGCACCAGTGTCCCTGCAGTCAGGAGCCTATCATTTATTATTTAATTAAAATTAATCAGGTAAACATAATTGGCTCTGTAAAATGAGACCACACAGTATGACCAACCCACCTGTCTTTGTGCACCAGCACCATTCTGTCTGTTTGCAGGCTGAGTTTTTGGGAGATCCGTGTCCTCAGGCTGTCCACAGTCTCTCCTCGGGGGACAGTGATCTCCACTGGACCGCCTGTGGTCGAAGTGATGGACAGACTCATGGAGGACTGACTGATGCAGGGTCCAGCCTCTCCTGCAGACTGTAGAGAAGTGAAACCCTGCTGCTCCATTCAGAATCCCTGACTATTAAAAATAAAATACAAATAAATAATAATAATAAAAATAAAAGTTTTGAATCTGATTCAGAGTTTCCCTTTTTCATTTATTTTTTTAATTCTTCTTCCTTTTTCTTCCTTTAAGCTCAGACACAGCTACTCTCAGTATGAGACAAGAAGCTCTACTCCAAGCTAAAAATACACCCATAGACCCGTCAGTAAACAAGCCCCGCCTATCGAGGCGCGCAGCCAATCAGCGAGAGCCACAAGACCGTGGCGCCTGGATTGTCCAATCAGAGGGCTTTGTCTCCACCCTGGTGTGTTGGGTACTCACCATTCACAAGTGATGCAAAACACGTAGTGCAAGCTTTGTCCAGGATGTCGCAACACCAAAATATTTATGCTACTGCTACACAACAACTGTTGTTAAAAAATTTAAAAGAAATCCCATTAACTGCGATCACTTACATCACAGCAATGTTATCCTTATTTTGATACAGTATGTATCAGTGAATCTGCCTTTTTGTTTCATTTTTATTTTAATAAAACACCATATCGTACAGATTTTACACTTTGCAAGTAAAATACATCATTAAATTTACAGCTCATCTTACAATATTTTGCACATGATATAAAATACAATTTCAAGCTTTAAAAACACATTTTGTTTGTAAGAACTTGCATTTATTACATCTTGGGCCATATTTTGGCAGAAACATTGAGGCATTAAAGGACCCGCTGCCTTTCGTGTCAGAGTTTAAGACTAAAACCAACACATGAGGACAAATGATGCAGTTGTAGCTGTTTCAACCAAACCTTGCAGTGTTGTAATGTAACAAAGTAGAAATACTTTGTTACTGTAGTTAAGTAGAATTTTGACATATCTTTACTTTACTTCGTTATTTACATTTCTACATTTCCTCAATAAAATATGTACTTTTACATCAATACATTTCCCATAACCATCTTAGTTACTCGTTCCTACAATATAAAATGAGAAGAAATCCGATTGGGCTGTTTGTTCTCCCAGTCTGTGACTTCACGCAGCCCCTTCTCTCTCCCTCACTGACACTTTCAATCACAAACCCAGCCCCTCCCCTGACACTTGTGTGAAAACTGTGGTTCCTGCTCTGAACAAGCTAGATGTATATGCAGATATCAATCGTTACAGTAGGTCTTTGTTGACTCACAGTGGAGCCATGTAAATTCCTGATAGGTGTGAAAATGATGGTAGCTGCTAAAAAGGAGAAGTTTGGTGTTCTCCAGGACATAACTGCTTTAGAGAAGCAAAGTATGACGTCGTCGGGCCTTTAGTCTTCCCATTAAAGAACACAGAGACAGATATCCAGTTTAGGGTGATTTATTTGCTGTGTTTCTTCTGGTCTTTACACAGCAGTAAACCAGTAAAGCACAAACAAGCTTGAACAACAAGGCACCATCCGTGTTGGGAGAGAAAAAAAAAACCTCCAGCTGAGCTCTGCACACAGAGCGGTGCGTTCAGTAGCGGTGGAACAGCCACGGTGCATCGAAGAGCATAGGGATTATTATATTCATACTGGAACAAGCACCAAACAGAACCGATATCGTTTGGTCGGTGGTTCAGTGGTTCAGGGACTGTTGCTGGTGACACTCCTTGTGGGAACCATCACCACATGGTCTGTCTATTTTCAAACAGTCTCAGTTCTCGCTCGCAGGTGACTAATGCAGCATGGGTGTGAGCATCGCTGCAAAATTTTCTTCAGGGACTTCACAGAATGTAAAGTTTGTTTTAGGACCATTATCAGGCTGTTGAGGGCTTCCTTCAAGGCCTCCTGATGTTTGCTCCCAGAACTTGCAGGAGATGCATTTGGAGCAGCGTCTTATGTGAGACAAGATGTTTCCTCTGCATGTGGTTTACAGAAGAGGAAACAGCTGGGAGTAAAAACGTGATGAGGCAGGTCAGGATGCTGGAGCTAATGAAACAGTGTACACCAACTCCTCCTCCTTTTTAATCATCTTTTAGGTTCCTTTGCACATCAGGTTTTTTTTACCGCTTCCTTCAGCAGAAACTGAATTCAAGTCGTAACCATGCAAACAGAACAGAGTCACACCTAAAGACCACATTTCATTTAGGTGTTTGCTGAATTCCCCTCTTGTGTGACGTGACAACCTCTGCGACCCTGCAGTGTTAGAGAACTGCCTGCCTGTCTGTGGGCCAGGCTTTTCGCTGAGACAAGCGAGGAAGAAGAGGCCTCGCTGCGTTCTTAGAGCCTCGGCGAGAACAAGACCACAGGATGTCCTGCTCTTCAGCGCATGTACCGACGCAGCTCTGACGTCAAGTCTGGCCAGCACACACACATAAAACACACACTCACACACAGTCCTCACCCTCCCTTTCTTCCCGCCCACTGTTCCCCAGGCATCTTTTCTCATTTAGTCACATCATGCCTTAAATGTGCAGGAATCTTTAGGACAAAACAAATTTTTGTTCTGAATATTTCATCTAGAATCTGATTATTATATTATTTTTATTATTACTTTTATTGGTTTTTGTTTGTTTGTTTGCTCCTTACTGAGCTCAGATGTATTTTTTTATGTCCTGATTCCCGTGAAAATATACTCAACAACACAACTTGGAGCTACAAATTGTTATCATATTATTTCTTATTCATCTTGTCCATTTTTCTTTTTGTACAAAATATTGATACATGAAAAACATTGAAATGTGACAATAAAACCAAACAACCAAAAAAAAAAAGTGAACCAGAACCAGCCGCTCATTTTTATTTATTTTTACGTTCATGTTCCCGACAGAGACACATAAATAACCCGTTTGTTCAGAAATAAGTTTCAAAGGAACCGCTTGAGTGAAAGGATCAAATCTAATAAAATAAATACAGAAGAAGTAATGGGGTCTTGGTAAGTAAAATAAATCTTGTCTGCTTACAATATCTTAAAAAGTGTGACTGTTGTAGAAAAAAAACACACACAAAAAAAAAATGTTGAGAGAAACATTTATTTTCTCACATTTTAAAATATCAAATCTCTGCCTGATCCAGAGATACCTGGAGTCTGTGGCAACATGAGATTTATTTAGAAAGTTCACTGAAGATAATTTCTTTCTGGTTGAGCTGGGACCTTTTTATCACCTGAATGAAAATTAATTGCATCAATTAGACCTTCGTCAGTCAGATTTCCCATAAAAATAAAAAATAACAACAGTCTTAATTTAATAAGTCCAAATGTGAACAAAGCTCTTTTTTTGTAATTTACACACAATCATCAATAGTCATGAAGAGATTGAAGAAATAATTATAATGTTAGAATTGTTTGCTCAAAAGTTATTCCACAATCATTTTTGTCATGTAAACCTCATTAACCCATATTTTATTGGAACATCATAAACTATTCAAATGTTTAAAATAAGAAACTTTTTTGAAAAATACAGATGCTCCAGACGAGGGACTAGCTGGCCTGCTACCAACACAGAGTTAAAAAACCTGCCTCTCTAATGGTATGGAGGTGCATTAGTGCCTCTAGGATTGGCAGCTTCATCTGGAAATGAACCCCCAATGAAGAAAAGTACATACAAGTTTAAGAACAACATATGTTCCCACTAGATGTCACATTTTTCAGGGAAGGCCTTGCATATTTCAGCAAGACAATCATTTTGTATCCATTACAACAGCACGCTTCAAAGGAGAAGAGGATGCTGATAAAAAAAAAAAAAAAAATGACAATCATGAAATAATCCAGCAAACACCCAGGACTGAAGAACAGCTAGAATCCTGCATTTGAAAAGAACAGGACAACATTAAAAGAAATGGAGATGCATGGCCCTGTTCACACATGCTGCTGCCTTTAAATTCTACATCACCTTAGTTTTCCCCCAAAAATGGTTAAATTTCTTAGGTTAAACGTTGAATGTGTTTGTTATGTTTTATTGTGAATCAAATATGGGTTCATGAGACTTAAAAATCATTTCATTCTGTTTTAAATTATTTCACAACGTCCCAACTTTTTCAAAATTAGGGTAAAAAAACAAACAAACATTAGGCCCAGCGATGGATGAAAACTGTTTATTTGTTTAGTATGAATTATAATTTATTCACAATTTTACACACTGTTAAATCAGAGTGAAATAAATTGGTATTAAAGATTTACATCCTCAACCTCCTTCCTGTCTGCAACTTGAGGCAAACAGCGGCGCAACGCTGCCACCTGGTGGTGAAATGGAAAACTACATGAGGTTTTACCGCAACCGCCCAGATACGCCTTCCGAATTTGGCTGCAGAGATACCTACTTGGGTCTGTCTGCATCTTGTCTCACATCCAGGACCCAGAGGCAGACTCAGCCCAGCAGACTGGACTTATTGTAGCTGCTAGTGTCAGTTATTGTTAATGTCAGTGTCTGCGTGTCTCCTCTCTCTGCTGAACCTCCTGCGACCAGCTGCCATTCATGAGGCGCTGCTGTGAATGAAGACAGGGCTGTTCTTCTCCAACTCCTCCTCCTCATCATCATCAGCCAGCACCAGCATCATCGTCGGTGCTTGGGCACGTGGTGCGCCAGGAGCGGGCGGTGGGTGTGTCCAATCGCGTGTGGTTTCATTCATAACTACAGTCCAAAAGCCCAGACTGAAGCATGCAGACTGCCTGCGGACCGCTTCAAACGGAGTCTACGACTGGGTGAGTCCGATCTTTGTCTCTTTCAGCCCCCCCCCCCCCATCTCATACGCATACCTCCGAGCGGGTCGCGCGGATCTCCAGGGCGCGTGCAGTGTGTCACTATTTGATTATGTAAGTCGTGGGATAGGTGACACATCCGACTGATGGAAGCGTGCTATTTTCTGGGGGTCTCTCTCTGATCCCCCCCCCACCCCGCACATGAGGTGCGCGTGAGGGTCTCCATGTGTGACCAGTCGTGATTTAACCCCCCACCAACAGGATGCGAGCAGGTGACGCAGTGACATGGGGCTGCCCTGATTTGGGGGTGGGGGGGGGGGTGGGGGTGGGGGGGTGTCTGGAGAAGAAGAGAAGATGCTGAGGATGCTGAGCGCCGCCGGCTGCAGCATCACGCCCCCCACCCCTCTGCACAGAGCGCGGGGAAGCTCCTTCAACACCACCCGAATAGACTGTTACATACAACACATCTGTATCACCTCACACACACGCGCGCGCGCAGACACACATACACATCATGCTCCCCTCCTTCATCATCAGCGGCAGAAAAAGTGTCCTTCCTCCTCTTCCTCCATCTGGCGGGATGACACACCAGAGATGATGCCAAAGTGATGATGATGATATTAAATCCTGGAAAATAATACGTGCACGCGAAACGCACGCGCAGTCTAGATTATGCCGTTGTGGTTTTCCCCCAACTGGAGTCAGTGGGTTGAGTTGAACTGAGGTTGAAGATATGAAGATGAAGCTGAAAAGTCAAAATGATGCAAATAACAAACAACTTAACTCCAGTGTTTACTGAACTGGAGAATAGTTTGAAAACGGTTTGAGAGTCCAGGAGATTCGTCATGTTTTGTGTTGACAGTGGATTCAGCGTGGATGCTCTTAAGTGTAATATGTAATGAAGAGGGGATTAAAACACGCTCCAATTCTTTATTCATCAGTCACTGGATGGTTATGAATAAAAATCAGAGTTCAAATTCAAATTCAAAAATACTTTATTAATCCCAGAGGGAAATTAAGTGTTGTTGTAGCTCATCATCCTGGTTCCATTCAAGAGTTGTTAGATGCTGATAGCTGATGGTAGGAAGGATCTCCTGCAGCAAAACCAAATAATCTGGCCACAGATCCGTCCACCCAGATCCAGCTTGCTGTCAGATCCGGCGGGCCTCTCGGTCCTCCTGGGCAACAGGACTTCCCGAACGTCTGGCAGAATTCCTCCCTGAGCGATGGTCACTCCTCCCAGCAGTCTGCCGAGTTCCTCATTGCCACGGACAAACAGCTGAAGGTGCCGGGGTAAGATCTCGGTCCTCCTGTTGTCACAAGCCAAGTTTCCCACCAGCTTCAGGATCTCGGCGGTCAAGTATTCGAGCACCACTGCCAGGTTGACGGGAATTCGTCCACAGCGCCTCCTTTTCAACTCATTTGGGATTTGGGGCTGTAGTTGAGGTGTTTGAGCTTTTGAGATGTTAATCAGCTGCTCCTGGTTGTTACAAAAACATACTGTTGCCATGGTTACGCACCATAACAAATGCCCCAAAGTAAAAAGGTTTCAGTAAAAATCCTTCCAGCTGCACATCATCCGACACCAGAGTAAATAATCATCTGAAAAAAGCGATTTACATCCAGAAAAAGAGGAATAAAGCGGCACAATTCTAGAACTTGATTTATTTGTTCAATCAATTTGTAAAAGCACATCTTCTCTTCCAGAAAAGCAAACGTGAAAATGCAATGTAAAGAAAACTTAAATTCAGATTTGAACTCCTTCTAATTCAATCAGCAGACTGAGGGAAACTGCAGTCAAATCATCAGCCAGGGGGAAGATTTCTATCTGTAAAAGTTTGTGTTTTGGTTTTTGTGTGAACATGATAGAACTTCTCGGAAACATTAAGGAATGACCCACATGGTACTGACTAAGTGTCAGAGAGAGGGTTGACATCATGTCCCTGCAGGCTGTGTGTTTTTGTTCCGGTGGATCAGAGCTGCTTCCACGTCATTAGTTTAGTTTCTGGTTTGTTGAAGACGTGAAATAAAATCAGAGCTGCCGTCTCATTTGTGTCACAGCAAGACGGTCATCTTAGAAACCTTATGGAGATAAGTCAAATGGAGCAAACCACTTGTTTCCTTAAAACTATAGTTTTTAAATCCCCTCTGCTCTTCTGTGGTCCGTTCAAAACGTTAGAAAAGAAGTGACTGTTTAGTTTTAAGACGTTGCTCTTAGCTGCACGGCAGCTTTATTTATTATTTGATTGTTGTTACAGGCCCTAATTTGTCCTATATGATTTCTTCCGCTATGATTTTATATTTTTATCTTTCTGTTAATTGCTACGTGTATGTTTTAATTTTTTATTATTAATGAGGATGTTTGCTTTGTAAATACACTCTCACCTTGATGTTGTCTTTGAGCCCAGTGAAGGCTGATGTTCAGCAGATGTTGCATTGAAAAGTTACATCATTTATTTATTTATTGGAGCGATTACTCAGAATTAGCACAGCAGGATCAGCTGATGAATCAGAGGTTATTTCAGGAGCAACATATTTGAACTTTTCTGTGGCTTTGAGGTTAAGTCAGATTTGCAAACGGTAACATAAATTATTAAAAGGCCCAGATCCCAAACTGGGCTGGATGCAGATTTTTTTATCAGGCATGAAGGATCCTGACTGTCAGCCTTGACCGTTCACCTCAGCTCTTTGTGTTTAAGTCTGCATTTCATTTATCCTCTCTGGTATCAACACCTCACACAAAAGCATCCTAATAGGATGCTGCAACATAACTGTTGTATTAATGTTAGAAAAACATGATATTTTCAGACGCAGCATCACACAAGGTGCACTTGGAGATGTCAGAGAGATTCTGGCTTGTGTGTTGTCGCCTGACAGCTGTGATGTATTGACATTTAAATGCTCTAAAAAGCAGAATAATTTGTTTCATATTAATCAGATTTGACTCTTCCTCTGGTAAAATGCTGTGAACTCACATTTAACTCACTATGTGAGCTAAGGCAGAGCTGATCAGCTTCTGGTTTGCCTTTTTGTGTTTTTTTTCTTTAATAAAGACAGTTTAGAGCTTGTAAAAGATCAGTATAGTCGTCAGCACCACAGGGAGGGAGTGTTTAGAAAATCAGTTTCTGTGTTCACATGTGCACCAGGCTTGTGTGACGGATAGAAATGTTGTCTCTTTGCACAACTGTCTGCATCCCAGAATGCATTTCTGCACTGAGAGCCCAGAGTGTGCATGTGCACAGATCAGTCTCTCATTTAGAAAAAAACAAACAAAGAAAGCAGATGACGAGTAGAGCAACATCATGGAAGCTTGCTTTGAGAGAAGGCTTGGCAGAAAAAAAAACGTGCACATTCCTGTGCTGCTTCATGTTGAGCGAACACATTCACTGAAAGAATCACGATCTGTTCGACATCACGGAATACCACAAATCAGACTTTCGTCTAACGTTTGTTGTTCTTTCCAGTGCCACAAATAAAAGACGATGCAAAATGAAGTGGCTGATCCGACACCACAAACAAACAGAACGAGAAGCTGGTTGTTGCACCGACGATTCTTTTTTCCTCAAAGAGAAAAGACCGAACCTTTTAGAAACTAAAATAGTGTTTCAGACTTAAAAAAAAAAGACAAGAGATGATGCGTATTATTTGAGAAAATAACGTGTTTTTGGTGCATTAAATGTAAACTTAGCACAATTTTGTAGATTTAAGACGACATTATGAACCTAAGAGAGCTTCAAAGCAGATTATTACTTATCATAGCTGTAAAATTTCAAACATCTAATGATACAATGAGCTTTTCCTGCAATGAGTGAGTGATTTTTCTCATGTACCAGCTGCAATGTGCCGTGTGTTTGTGTCAAAGAAACTCATCTGAGTCAGACCAGGACATAAAACACCAAAGAGTTTGGCTTGTTATGCGTTCTCCTCATTAGATTCAGTGTTTGATCGTATTCACCACAATGTGTTCATCTAATGACTGTCCTCCTCCTCTGCAGGGCTCACTCACTGTGACCTGGACCATGAGCAATGATCTGCCTGTTCTGACGAGTTTGACCGAGAACTCCACTGTGAGTGCCTCTCCGGGCGTCAGCAGCACCGACACACTCCATCCACACTGTCACTCAGGGACTTCAGGGGTTTCAACCAGAACAGGAACCACAGTAAAACGCTTCTTTACGTTTTGCATCCAATATGACAAACTTTCATGTGCTTTAAAAAAAAAAGCAGTTATGAACAACAGTTGTCCATAACTCCTGCAAGATCTTTTTAAGTTTTTAAATGAGCATGAGCTGATCTTTCCATTCCCATCAGAATAATTTCAAACAATTGTCTTTGATGCTTTAGTTTAAACCTCTTTACACAGAACTATGAGTCATTGATACATAAAACATGGAAGAAGCAGGAAGAAAATCCAGCACCTCACAGGACATGGACATCTTTTCTTGATCCATCCTCCTTTTTTTTTTTTTGCCAAAGTCTCAGTGGAAAGGTGATTGTCAAAAAAATAATTCTTAATAAGGAAATAGCTGGCAAAATATTCCTAAACGAGGCAGATAATCAAGTTTTATGGAGCGACACATCCAAGCGTGAGAGTTTTGCTTTAAGCTGTCATCAGTATGAACAAAAGAAAGTGTTCAAACAGCCATCTTTAAAACACAGAGGAGGTTCTGCCCTGGTTTGGCTGCATTTCAGCCCATGATGTTGAATATATTGTCCACACAGTAGGAATCATTTGTGCAGAAAACTACAATCAGATTTTCATTTACCATGAGGCTTCCATCTGGGAAGTATAAGAATCAGAATCAGCTTTATCGTCATTGCACTGATGTGCTGTACTGAAATTATATTTCAGAGAGAAACATAAACAAACAGACATGGGGAGACGGAGGTGACTGAGGTCGCTGTCTTTGAGAGGCGCAGCCCTTATTTCAGATAAGAAAAAAAAAAAACATGAGGGAGAGCATAGGTGTAAAAAAAACCAACCTTTCTCACTGTGTCCCAAAGTTGCAAAGAAATGACCTCAGCACAGGAAACAGCAACATGCTGATGACATCATAATACATTTATGCATGAGGAGGCTGACGAGGGCAGTGAGTTGTACGTGGACACCGCCAGAAAGTTCTATAGTCCTGATAAAGATGGCACAGTGTCTATAAGCCGGCTCAACTCTGACACAGATCCACAGGCGTCCTCGGGAGGGGAGCGATGGGGGAGGAGGGAGCAGAGCTTCTCGTTCACATAAACAACCAGGAGAAGTTTGAGATAGCTGGACAATTTAAGGCTGAGTGGGGAAGCCAATTTCAGATAAAACAATTATTTTGGGTCAGGCAGCCTGCTTGAATTTCCATGTCTGCCTTTATAGTTCTACTGGTACGTCTCAGCGGCGACTCCAAACAGCCAAATTTTGTGGTCATGCCACCGGATCAAGCTTGTAGCCGTCTCCAAGGTCGATTCCTTCCTGTCAGTGAATCCCAGGAGCTGCAAGTGGCCTGCGATTCTCAAAAATCACATCCAGCTTATGGCTCCACACATACAGCATCTGAGTTTGAGAGCTCACCGCTCGGTACATTCCTTCATACAAGGCAGGCAGCCTCACAATTGCCAGAACCGCTGCCATCTTCCAAATTTGTCGATATGCCAGATACCCACCAACACCAAAAAAGCAGAAATGTGGTTATCATAAATCCAGTTATGTACGCGTCTTCTACATTCTCAACGGACGATACAGACAGACACACCATCTTCCACTGGCCCCAGGAATCCATTGCGTATCCAGCTGTGAGTGTCCCTTCAGGGCATGAGGGCTCTCCTTTGCCCCGTCTTCTCATCGAGAAAATTTTATCAATTGCATTGAGAGACCAGCTGACCAGATCCATAATGTACAATTTGTAGGATACGTAGCAAGAGGCTCTGATAGGGTTCACAGGATAAAGAGCAGAGCAGGAGGGAGGCAGGGACAGGGGGAAAAGCGTCAGCCCTCGTTGAGAATAAGCAGGAAAAAAGTATCTTATTGACAATAACTTAATTTTTAACAAGTGTTAAACTCAGATAGCAAAGCTTGTGGCAGAACGCTTGTTATTCACAGATCAACCTTCTCAGTTATTTTAGCAGTGTGAGATCATTTTGACAGAACAGAGCAAAAAAAAAAAACCAACCTGCCAACATTTAAAGAAGAGCTTTGGAGTGTCATTCCAAAAGCCCGGAGAACGATCCGTGCAGTTTGCATAAAGAAAAGAGAACTGATCAAACTCTTGTTTGATTTTATTTTTGTATAGCTGCATGTTTTAAAGGTGCACATTTAAAACTGCAAAAATAAACATAACACGGGTTATTCTGATCTAAATCAGATGAAAGAGCTCGCTCCAGTTCTCACTGTATTTGTTCTGAAATGCAGGTAGGCACTGAATGTAATCAAACCACTTTCATTTGATCATTTTACTCACCAAACCTGAACATAAATATGTTTCAGTGCAATCAAACTTGTTGGACTTCTTCCTCCCAAACAGATCATCATCGTCACTGTTTTCACTCACTTCTGTTGGTAAACAAACCCTCAAATTTTGTAGTTCAGGTTCTTGTTTCTTGCTCATTTTATTGAAAAGACTATGTGACATTGCAATTGATACAGTATATTAAATACATTATTAAGCCCTGTTTGTTTGATTTTTTTAATCCACAAGACATTATAGTAAAATTAAATTTTTTTCTGACAAACATTTTCCAAATCATCATCAACTTTGTGCCTCCAAAGGCGTCAGCTGAATGAACCGCAGCATCTATTAGCATGAATTATATTCTGTATATCTTTCACTTTAGAACATATTCAGGCCTGAAGCACCTCTCTGTCTGAGAAAAACAAACAAACAAACAACAAAATGTGTTTTATTGGCATGAACAGACTCATCGTCATGGATGTCTCGTTGCATTAGCAGGAACTAACAGCATCACTGCCTCATCCGTCCAGATCCATGCACACGGGTTGAGGCTGGTGTTGATGAATGCAGAAATCTACAGTTTTATCCTTTCTTTTCCTTCTTTTACATTGGACTGAAGATTTAGTGTGATGTTGTGAAGAGACACTTTATTTTCAGCCCTTTTCTGAAGCTGACTTTGGGAGACGAGCCAGAAAAGTCTTCAGTGGGGATTGCTCATGTGCGTCGGCATCCTCCTCCTCCTCCTCCGAGTTCCATTTTTAGCCTGCGGAGGCCTCATTTCCCTCTCTTTGAGAAGAGCTGGGAAACTGAATTAAGGGTCTTGCTGACGTTTCGATTAGCATCCCTGGCCCGGTTCAGCCAAGACTGAGTGCATTAATCAGAAGAGAGCAGCCGTGCAGTCTGTGCGACTGTATATAGAAGAGTGTTGGATGAGCACTGCAGTGAGGAGGCAGGGACTTAACAGAGTCTGTCAGTGTTAATTCCACTCATTAAATCTTAGCTGACAGCGTAATGCCACAAAGACATCCTTCGCTTCAGAGGAGTTCATTGAAAACATTTTTTTAAAAACCTGATTCAATTACCGTCCCAGCAGAGCAAGCAGCTGCCGCCGTGTTCAGAGCGACAGAACATGGCAGCAGAGATGGACGCCTCTCTGTGAGGAGTTAGAGTTTGTGGCTCAGGGCAGAGACGTGTGAACACAAGCAGTGGAAATTAAATTGATGCTCCGCAGCTCAAACTGTAATAGAGTTCAGAGAGGAGCAAGTGTCAGCAGTAATGATGATGTTTGTAGTTATATTTTACTTCTTTCTTGTATTGGTTATATTTGACCATGAACGCTGGGGTATTGGGACTTGGTGGTGGACTGGAGTAGTTTTGGTCTTTCTTGTAATAAATTACATAAAAAGAAGAAGAAAAAGGAGTACAGGGATGTGTCCCCTGACCCACGCACAGCTGGTAGAAGGATAACGGTGTAATTTAGGACCCCCGCCCTGATGGAGACTCAATTAACCTCTTACGGGAAGAGGGTGAACGAGTCTCCAGGTTTCCAAGAACAAATGCATTTCATCAGAAACAAACACTTCACATTTAAAAGATATGAAAATCAGCCATTATCAGCCAACCTGATTTAATATCTGTTTATTTTTTTTCTGTTGTTGCTGGTGGAGCTAGTTTCAGTTTGAAACACAGCAAGAAGAAATAGTCCCTCGTTAACTGCGAGGGTTACATTCTGGATCCCCCCCCCCCCTGCAATAAGTGAGAATCCACAAAGTAGCAATGTTATATTTATTTTAGTATTTATTATATTTTAAGGATTTAAAAATCGTTCCCACACTCTTGCAATGTTCTAAACTCTTAAGCCCCCAGTATACTCCCGTGTACGTCCATACGCGGAGGTACGCACGTACGTACGTGGAGGTACGAGCGTACCCCCCAGGGCATGTCCGTGCAAAGCTCAATTTTTACGACTGCGTACTCTGTGTCGCACAATAAACTGCCCAGCGACGGACTGTTTTGTATGCGACACCAATGTTTTAAATTCCCCTTCTTCATCCCTGATCTGACCTTTTTTTTTTGTTTTGTTGACAAAAGGCAAGTGATCTCTTCCTCCTCTGTTGACTCCATGACTGAAATGGTGAGAAATGAAGGAATTTGTCACGAGCGAATTAAAATCAGGCCCAGTGTAGCTGCGGGAGGGTCTGGAGATTCCCTGGTGGGCTGGTCTGATGTGTGGGCTGCAGGGCCAGCGCTCCCTGTTTTTTTTTTTTTTTTAGATCTTTTTTATTAACAACATATAAACACAGAACACCGCTGCGGCCGAGGCTGCCAGCTCTCTTTTTTCCCCAAACTTTCAATCAATCCAGTAGGCGTGTCAGCAAATGACCAATCAGCGAACTCAATTTGTCCCGAAGGTAAACGCCCCTTGTCTGTGACGCTGCTCTGCAGCTGCTCAGGGTCTACGCTTGAGTATCAAGTCTGAACCCTCTGCGTAGAGTACACGTGTACGTACGCATGAACGGATGAACGTGGGAGTACAGTATACTTGGGCCTTTAAACCTACATCATATTAACAACATACGTACAGTACTGTATATGTAGCTACTAAATTTTACTCACTAGTTCTGCAGAACTTGATTCCATTTCGGCGGACCTACCCTGCCGGTTCTGGTTGGCTCTCTGGCTCGGGGTGGTAGCAGTGGGCTCCAGAGAGTGTGTCAGCCATATGGTGGTGCGCCCCCCTCTCTGAAGTCCTCGTGGGCTGGCTACCAGCTCTCAGTGGGACTGGTGGTCCGATAGAGGGGAAAAAGGGTCTCAGTGGGCTTCGGAGGGAGCGCCAGACCTATGGCAGCTCGTCCCGGCTCAGAAATCCTTGTGGACCAGCTACCAGCTCTCAGATGCACTGATGGGTCTGGGGGTCCGGTTCTGCTCCGGTTCCCAGTGGGTTCTGTGCAGCTCTCTGCATCCGCTGTGCACCGAAGTCACTGTAAAGGACCAAACCTTTTCAGATCAGATCAAAACATTCCCTCTACATATTTCAGCAGAAGGCAACGGGGCTTCTGGGAAATGTAGTCCTTATTAGTGGCAAGTACGGTGTGGGCTTATTGAGAGAAAACTACAAAATGGCGGTGCCTGTCCAAAGTATTATTATTTTTTTGTTAAGTTGTTACTGTATCCAGTAATGTCCCAATCACGAGTAATATTAAAGTTGACAATCATGTGTCCTCTACAATTTTTTTTTCTCGTGTTCAATCTTACTTTGAAAAACCGTGAAAGAGCGAGCCCACGAAAGTCGAACTGCGAAATAGCAAGGGACTACTGTACAGAAAAAAGCCTTTGAAGTGTATAAGAATGTAAAGTTTGTTTTCTCAGTCATCCAGGTATATAACAACAAAAAAGGTTGAATCATGTCATCTGGACTTCGTTTTTTTTGTTAAAAAGAAACGTTTCGCCCCTCATCCAAGAGGCTTCATCAGTCTGAGGCCTAGCCATCTGGTATTACCCAGAAGCCACCCTGACTCTTGTGTTTCAAGCCTGCCTCAGAT